TCTGTCTCTGTCTGTGTCTCTCTGTGTGTTTGTTTGTTTGTTTGTTTGTTTGTTTGTTTGTTTGTTTGTCATGTAAGCAAATACGTGTAGGCACATAGAAGTCAGATAGGCAGAGAAATGCAGTGTTTGTTTCCTTCAGGGTTTTTGGTTTCGAGGCTCCCAGTCATTCACTAAACCCTAAAAAAAACCCCAGCAGCCCCTCTGCCAGCACCATGTTACCCATAGGCCCCATAGTAGTTCCTTTGTGGGGTTCATATTTAGAGTTCGATTAGGGAACCCTCAAAAGGAGCTACTGTGGGGCCTATGGGTATTTTCTAAGGTCAAATTTAGAGTTCGCTTTGCGGTGGATATTCGGAAATATGGGGCAGTAGCATACTGTGCCCTGACCGAGAAACCCGAATCTATCCCGCAGCTCCTCGACCCCGAACCCCAAAACCCGGGTGGCCGGGCTTCTATGGAACCTCCGCTAGTTAGGCAAGCACACATTATAATTGGATAATCGGGACCAAAGTATGGAAACCTATAGTTAACGGGGACCCCATTATAGAGCCCCGTAGTACCGTTTACCGTCTACGGGGGACTCTATTGTGGAACCCTATAGGACCCGTTAAGCTGAAGCCCCAAAAACACAACAGCCCTAAAATCCTGAAGCTCTGAAGCCGCAAGCCCATCAAACCGGACCTACACCCTAAGCTTACAACCCCTCCAAATCCTGCCTACTGAACTAATGGACAGGCCCTAAACCCCAAACCCCTCACCCGAAACCCCTAGAGCCTTGAGCAGGTAAAGGCCACTACTGCGAGGCCTGGATGCGAGGGCGCCGCGGGCCTGTCAAAAGCGCTGGCCGGTCAGCAGCTTGGCTTCGGGTTGGAAGGTACTTATAGCAGTTCATACATTTGTTTGCAGGGCTGTAGGTGTTTTTTTCATTGTTGCTTAAAGAGCTTCTTGAAAGTCGGAGTGTCCCAACACCCTAAACCCTGAACCGTCTAGGAAAGTCGGAGTGTCAGGTCTGGGATTCACACATCGAACTTGCAGGCTTCGGACCCTTTAGGACTTGTCTGCAGCTTTTGTTCTTAGGAACGTGGGTGCTGCAAATGGGGTCGGGCAAGAGGGATGAGGTCTATACTAGGGATCGTATTCAGCGCTGAAGTCTGAAATCTAACAGCCTAGAGTTTAGGGCTTAGGGTGTAGAACCCTAAGCCCTCTTGGGTGGGTCTGTTCGATGAAGTTGTCACGTCCTGCTTTGTCCTGGAGTTTTTGTGGAAGTGTGCACCCTGCAATGGTAGCACTGGGCACTTTCTCGCGTTCTGCAGGAGTCAAAGGTGCATTACATTCATAAATACCCTCTTGAAAGCGTCTCTTAGACTTTATACACCCTAAACCCTCAACCCTACTTTAGGGGCTGCATGGGTTCAGTGCCAAGGGTTCAGGATTGCAAGTTTAAGTTTTGCCGTTTAGGCCCAGTTTAGGCTTTAGGCATGTAAGACTTAGGGTTACGAGATGTAAATTAGGGTTTAGGAATGTAAGCTTTAGTTATATGGGTGGTTGTCAAAATTATGGTCCCTTTCGGGGTACCCTAAATAATAGGTGCCGTATTATAATAAGGCCCCAAAAAGGGACCATAATTTTGACAACCACCCATATAGGGTTGAAGGTTCAGGGTCTAAGTTTGGGGTTCTCAAGCCTTCAGCCTGAGCTAAACCCCGATAAGAGCCCTGCAAATCCCGCCGCTACACCTAGAAAGCTACATGGAGCTCCTGACAGACACCTTTTGGACAACTCAAGAAGCCCCTAGAATCCCGGGAAAGAAAGTCCACACAACAGTAACAAGCCCTAAACCCTCAACCCTCAACCCTAAACCCTCAACCCTAAACCCTCAACCCTAAACCCTAAACCCAAACCCGTTAAGGCCCCATGAACGCCTCTTGCGTCGCGAAACCCCTTTATCCGGTCCGAAGTTGGTGCGTTTTGGGGCACCCTCACGCCCCAAAACCATCGCAAAACCCC